ATTACTCAACGATATAATGCTTCGCTATCTTTATTTTTCTATATCCAATTAATGTTTCGTTTGAACTTGTTTTTGTAGTAGGACTAGGAGTGTGATCTCTCTCTATGTCTCTTTTATATGTATTTGGACAGGTATAACTTATTTTTCGTCTAATTATTTTGTAATTGAGATCTTATTTTCTATTCGTTGTTCTATTAAAACATATGTAAATAAAATGACAAGTTCTTGCAATTATGCCTAAAATTTTTGAACTTGTAAATAGTTTTTTAATATTATTAATTTTTGACTTGGATTTTGGTGTTAAATGGTAAAGATTTCACATTAGCATTATGGATTAGATCTATTATTCGAATGAATGAATGAATAATGTCGATTTTTAAGTAAATAGATCATGGGATTTATACGGCTTCACCAATGGTGGCCCTGAGTATAGGCGAAGTAGGCGATCGCCTAAGGCCTTGCTTTGGTGAGGGCCTCAAATTATGTAAAGTTAATTGGTTGGTTGAAGAAAAATAAAAATTATATTTATAAAATTATGAAAGTAGAATTATTGTATGTGAACATAAGAAACTAATAAAAAGTACAAAAATCTTTAAAACATATATATGGCAACAAATTTATCACTTATATTTATTTATCACAAACATTACTTTCCCTATTTATAATTAAGTTGACTTTTCTTTTTTTAACCAAACAAAAGGTCTCTTTATCTTTTCAAATTCCATGTCCAACAATCACCCATCATTAATTTTTCCAACCCAACAAGATATAAATTATTTCACTTGAATTAAAATTTTGAAGATTCAATGCAATTTGGTTTGATCTCGCTGCTATTGTTATAGTCTTATAGGTTTTTTCTCTCTCTCTCTCTTATTTTCAAACCATATGCTATAGAGTATATATGTTGTTATTATATTATTTTATTTTAATCTCATGATAATAATATTTTTAGATATTTGCTTAAAGTATTTTGAATTTAATAGTTCTTTGTTCTTGTTCATTCAGATGCTTCTTATTTTAAATTAATTTTTTATAAATTAATATAAAATTAGAAGCTCGTTTATAATTGATCATCATTTCATTTTTTTTGTTACACTATCTTTTGTAGTCACATTCTCCAATTTTGTACATAAATCACTCAAATGTATATTCAATTTTATTTGAAATAGTTGTAGTGAGAAAATAATCATATAAACGAGCATACCTCTTTGTCATTGCATTGTAATTTTGTTTGCCAAACTTTACTTGTAATTTGTATTGTTGGTTGGAATTTGACATTTTGTTTATTTTCTTTTCAAAATTTGGGGTTTAGTTGTCTGTGTTAGATTCTTTATATTTATATTAAGCCCCTGTTTGGCATCAATTAAAATCTGGATTTTAATCTGAGTCAAAATTAATAATTAATTTTAACCATATATTTTATGTGTTCCAAAACTTTAAATCCACATATTTTATCTATTTCTAACAAAATATACTAAAAATTTGATTTTAAGGGTTGTTTCAGCCCTATTTTTCTCAAAAAAATGTATTTTGAAACAATGCTACGATGGAGAATGTATGGTTAAAAAATAAGAAAAAGTTTTAAGTTTGTGTGTAATATTATTTTATTGAGAAATGTGTGGTTGAAATGGTGTCAAATCACCATTAAATAATGTATTTTAATGAAAAAATGGGATTCAAACAAGGGCTTAATCTCCATCAAACAAGCTAAAACTCTATACAAGGAGAATCAAAATATAGGGCCCCAATTTGAAATTGGCATAAGGCCCCCAAAATATTTGAGTCGACTCTGGGCTTCACTTCAATTATAATAGGACTTTTTTCTTTCTAGACGCTCATTTTCCCCTACAATTAGTAATATTGGAATAAAAAAAATCAGTAGTTACAAACTCAAGGTCCAACCTAGCCCGATGCTAAAACACAAGGGTGTTTACGGGTGAAATCATTTTTTTAGTTAAAATTACACAAGATGATAAATATTTTGTTAGAAATAAATAAAAAACACCGACTTAGGAGGGGAATTTGATCATCGTGTTTAACTCTAAGTCAATGCTAATAGACGTAGAATGGAAAAATTATTATCTCATCATCTTGTTAGGATGTTCATATTTGTTTCATCTCCACGTGGTCCAAAAGTCTCAGTAGTGTAATCTATTGTTCATAGTAAACTTATATGACGAAGTTGTCCATATGGCCTCCATGTTCAACTGACTCAATACAGATGGCGGAGTCGCCACTATATTAGTCGTGCAATTGCATGATCCTATGTAGTCTTTATCAATTTAAATTTCATCGCTTAAATTATATTTTCCCTTGGACCTTCTTCCTTGATCGGCTGACTCGAACCCCAAATTTTTGCAATATGCAATTTTGCCCAATGAACTTTCTAGTTTCTATAAATTAGTCCCTAAATTTTATGTTTGCTACGAATCAATACCCAAAATTCCTAATTTCTGCAAATTAACCCTTGGGCTTTTTCATGCTGGAAATTAGTTTCTATTGGCCCACTTTGTGAACTCTGTCAATAGAAAACCTGCTAGAATTTACTTTAGTGGGAAATTATATAATAGCAGGGATTTAAAGATCATAATGCAAAAATTAGGAATCAAGTTTCATTATTTAAAAATCAGGTATTGATATAATAATTAAATATCCAAATTTAACTCCCAAACCCTAATCATTTTCATCTATCTTCCTTCTCTCACTTCTCTCGCCTCTCTCTCTAAGCATGTCACCACCACCAAATGATGACAACGTCTCCTCTCTCCGGTGGCAACGTCTTCTTCAATCTTCGGTGATAACTTTTCTCTCCAATGTGATTGTCACAGCAACGTGTGTGGCGACATTAGGTGTGGTGGTGGTAATGGTGGTTTTGGGTTGCCGTGGCTTTTAGCAGTGGTGCGTCAAGGTATGGTGGTAGTAGTTGTAGTTTGGGGCTGCTATGGTTTTCAACAGTGGCGACATTGGGGTGTGGTGATGGTTGTGGTGGTTTGGGGCTACTATGGTGTCAAAACCTCGATTGATGTTATATCCTGTGCGATTTTCAGCAGTGGCGACATCAAAGTGTAGTGGTGGTAGTAGTGGTTTAGGGCTAATGTAGGTTTCAGCTGTTGCAACGTAGGGGTGAGGTGGTGGTGGTTTGGGGCTACTGTGATTTTCAGCAATGGCGACGTCGAGGTGTGGTGGTGGTGTTGACACTGTTTGTGACGATGGTAGTGGTGATTTGGGGCTGCTGTGGTTTTTGATAGTGTTGGTGTAGGCGTAGTGTTGGTGGTAGTAGTGGTGGTTTCAGTGTTGTTGTGGGTTTTAGGTGGTTTTTATTAGCTGTGCAGGTAAAGATGCTAGCGGTGATGGTGGATCTAGCGACCAATTTTGTTGAAGGTACATGTAGAGGTGTTGACGATGGTGGTGACAGATGGTGATGGTGATGGTGGTGGTGGTGGTGAGGTAGTAGTTGTGTTGTGGTGCTGACGAGGGTGGTCACAGTGGCGGTGACGGTAGTGTTGGTGGTGGTTAACCAATTATTTGGTTATATGTGACCAAGTATTAAACTGTGACCTTAAAATTTGATAACTTGTGACTGAAATATAATTTGTGATCAACAAATTTGAAAATTTGTGACGAATAATAAACTGTGACCTATAAGATTTTTGATTTGTGACATCAATATAATCTATGATCTACAAAATTTTTTATTTGTGACCTCGAAATAATCTGTGACCAATTAATTTTACAATGTGTGACCAGTAAAAAAGTTGTTACCTATAATTTTGTATATGTGACAATTATTTGTATAACTGTGATTTTATTAATTAAATATTAACAAATATTTTTAATTAATTATATATATACTCAAATTTTGAATTTTTAAACTATACACCCCACTTTTGAATTGGTGTAAACTCTACACATGAGTTATGATGTTTTCTCTTTACTTTATGTTGTTGGTGTGAATTTCCTTTGAACGCTACCCAACCAAATATTCAGCTAGATGGTCCATTATATGGCTCAAATTTATGTCATCTGGAGGCCCACTTAGCACCATTTGACTCAAATTTTTATCCGCCATCGATGTACACTGATTCTACTTTTTAATGGGAAAATCACTAGGATTGTCAGTGCTATAAAAAATATATGAGGGATCACTTTGATACAGAGCTAATAAGTTGGTGACTATTGGCACATTTTTTCTAATGGAAAACTTTTGGATGAAAAAATAAATTTAATCTTAGAGCAAGTTCGAGAAAATCTTAATAAAAAATTTCATTCATTCTTAAATAATTAAAACTTTTAAGTGAGCTGGTTTAATCATTCCTTACCGTTACAAAATTTATGACCTATTCACGACATATAATTTTTCAACATATGACTAAAGGTCCATGGAGGAAACTTCTTGCTAACAAGTGCTATTAATCAATGAGGATTTGTGTATTTTTTTTCTTTAATATGATCAAATCATAGAATCCATAAAAAAAATTAACTCAAATTAAATAATTTAGGTAAGAATCAATTATTCAAGTTGTGCTTGACATTTCGATTAAGAGCATACGTGTCTAAGAAAATAAGAAATCATTAAGAAAAAGGAAATTGATCAAAGTTAAAAATACATTTCTTCTTTTATCTCTAACACATGGAATATACTTCTAAAAAAGTAGCTATATTTTACTTTGAAAAAAAAAAAATTGGAAACAAAACAACTGTTATTCACACATTTTTTATTTGAAAAAAAAGTTTATTCTTTCTAGACCTAGGAAAATGTGCTACGAGTTTTCAAGCAGAAGGAAAAGAAAAAAAATAAATAAATTTTATTGTTTTGAGATCTGAATTTTTAGGATAGTGCCAGAGGTACAGCCACAATTATCAAATTTGTTACATAATTTGCTGACGTAGCGATATTTTCAAAAAGTCAAAATCTCACCTTCCACTTAAAAAAAGAAAAGAAAAGGAGGGAGCCATTTTTTTTAACCCTACAAAAACTTGTCATTTGCAATCCAACCAAACCCAGCAATCGACCGAAATGGAAGGACGTCAAAACCCATTCGAGCCTCGACGACGTGAACCTCGACGTCGACGTCAACACGATGGTAAACCCCTCGTTCTCACCCCCATCAGTTGTAGTGGACGCAAAACTCAACCATTTCGGAGATGCAGATGAAATGGAAGCAGACAACTCCAGTGCTGTCAGCCACTTCTGCGTTGGCGACAGCATGGGTAACATTTATTCTTCTTCATCTTCATTTGATCTGAGGGTGGTTCTATATTCTTTATGCATTTTATATTTGGAGCGATTGGGTTTTGATTTTGAAGGCAACCGGTGAACGGGAAAATGCTTGTTCTATTAAAGTGTGCTTTTGAGTTTTGATTGCTCTATACGAGTTTGGAATATTTTAATTTTTTTCCTTTTCTGTTATGGGCATTGAGTATACCAAATTAGCTTACATGGTGGCACATGACGAGGGACAATGCAAGCGCATTACGGAGTGGATCGAATTCCAAACGGTTAATTGACGTCAAAATCCAATCAAGTCGCCTCACAATCCTTTGAAACGGGAATGTTTGCAGTGGAGACATCTTAAATCTAAAAGATTGGAGAACTAAAGGAGCACCTAAAAAAAACTGTCGAAAAGGTCATTTTCGAAAAAATCTCCATTAAATGTTGAGGTACTCCTCTATTTTTTTTTTTCAATGTTGAGGTACTCGAATCATATAACTCATTCAATTTTCACATCTTGCAGTTTGTAGTAAATTTTATCTGCTTACATGTGTAGGAAGTTCAAACGACGAACAATTTTTGTTCTCAAAATTTTGTGACACAAGAGAGCGTGTCCGGTTGTGCGAGTAAATGTTGATGCAGTTCAATTCCTGAATTCATCAAGCTGCTAATTGTAGAAGGTCCTCATTTTGTGAAGCTTCTAAACTTGGATAAGCAGTTTGAATGATTTGGAGAAGTAGTTTGCATATGTTATGCATGTAGGATAATTAAATTCAGTGTCTGTCTGTATAATGTGTTTGCTAACTCTTTGCATAAACGGTAAGTAAATATAGTTTGAATGCTTGGTTTAAGTGTATTCGTGAACTTAATATTTGGGAATCTGATTTGCCAACATTATGGTTGGTGGATATGAGCTCCAATTATTCAAAAAAATTGGCCTTAAAACTCTAAATAAACACACATCAATGATCATATGGAAGTTTATACATATATACATGTAATCTGTCCAAAAACTGAACATTTTTCTACAACGCCAAGGAAATTGAAGTTCACCTTAGTGAAAAATCAGAAATGAATTGATTGAAAGTTGCATGATCTTTTACATTTCTACTGCCTTATATACACAAAGAATCTATACAAGCATTTAGATACAAAAAGAATATTCTGATCTAACAGAATTTGCCATGTGTTCTAACTGCATTTATTCCACCGTGCACCACCAATTCTGTTAGGCTGCTGCTGCTGCTGATTGTTGCTCCTTTTTGTTATGTTGGTTCAAATATTCTAACTCCCCCTTTCACGGTGGAGTGTGTCTTTAGCACTCCAAGCTTGTCTTTAAGAAACAAAAATCTTGAATGACTCAGTGGTTTTGTCAGCAAGTCTGCTGTTTGGTCAGATGTTGGTACATAGTTGATTTCTAATTCTCCTCTTAGAACCTTGTCTCTTACAAAATGAACATCAAGCTCTATATGCTTGGTGCGTGCATGGTAAACTGGGTTCGAAGCCAATGCGCTTGCACTTAGGTTATCACACCATATCTTTGGCACCATCCTCTGTGGTATCTTTAGCTCCTTCATCAGGGATTGTATCCATGTAATTTCTGATGCACAATGAGCTAATGCCCTATATTCAGCCTCCGTGCTTGACCTTGCCACAACATGTTGTTTTTTCGAGCACCAGGACACCAAATTATCTCCAAGATATACACAATAACCTGCTGTGGATCTTCTATCATCTGGGCAAGATGCCCAATCAGAGTCTGCAAACGCAATTATGTCAAGGTTGTCACTTTTTCGAATGACAAGTCCATGTTTTAGAGTTCCTTTCAGGTATCTAAACACTCTTTTGAGTGCCTTCCAGTGAGCATCAGTTGGTGTTTGGAGGAATTGGCTCATTTTGTTCACTGAATATGTGATATCCGGTCTTGTATAGGCCAAGTACTGGAGACCACCAATAGCACTTCTATACAATGTTGGGTTTTTCAAGACTTGTCCCTCAGCCTTAGATATTAACTTTCCAGTTGCCATGGGTGTCAAGCTTGGTTTCAAATTTTCGTACCCAAATTTCTTCAGTAGATCAGTAGCATATTTGGCTTGATTTAAGTACAATCCTGTTGTGTCTCTATACACTTCTATACCCAAGAACCGACTGAGGTTTCCCATATCCTTGAGAGCAAAGCTTGTGCTCAAATTGTCAATGAACTGCTGCAGCTGCTGATTGTTGCTTCCTGTTATCACTATATCATCCACATAGACAAGTGCAAACACTATATCCTTCCCACTTTCCAGGTAAAATAGTGAATTATCTGCCTTGGACTGTCTAAAATTCCATTTTAACAGAGTACTTTTCAGCATTTCATACCATGCTCTTGGTGCCTTCCTTAATCCATACAATGCCTTTTCTAATTTGCACACAAAACAAGGTTTTCTTTCATCCACAAATCCTTCTGGCTGATACATGTATACAACCTCATTTAGCTTGCCATTCAAGAAGGCATTGTTCACATCTACATGCCTAATGTTCCAGTCTCTTGATACAGCCAGTGTTAGAATGATTTTTAGTGTTGAAGCCTTGATAATGGGGCTAAATGTTTCACCAAAGTCTACTCCAGGTGTCTGAAGGAATCCCTTAGCCACCAGCCTTGCTTTATGCCTCTGCACCTCCCCTTCTGAGTTATATTTCAACTTGAATACCCACTTGTTTCTAATTATCTTCATCCCAGGTTCTTGAGGTACCAATGTCCAAGTTTTATTTTTTAATAGTGCATCATATTCCTCCTTCATGGCATTTTTCCAGTAGTCATTCTGCATTGCATCATTAACAGTCAAGGGTTCAATTTCTGCTGATTTGTCAGTTCTTTGGCTTGTGTAAATTTTTGGTTTGAAAATTTCAGCCTTGCTTCTAGTAACCATATGGTGTCCAGCAGCTTCTGTTGCAGTTTGATGATCACTGTTAGCTTCATTTTCAATGTGTTGAAATTCACATACATCCTGTTGAATACCACTTGCCACCTGGTCACCTGATTGATCCTGATTTATCTCAGCATTATTGTCTACTGCTCCTGCCTTACCTTCTACTTCAGGGTCTAATTCTTTACCAGAGGAACCTGCTGTAGGTGATGCATTAGGATAGATCATATCAGATGTGTCTTGAGAGGTTGTTTTATGACTGGACTCAAAGTTAAGTGGAAGGAAACTTATGACAGGTTCAGATGTTAGTGATTGAGCTGGTTTGTTCAGGAAACCTGACTTGAAGGGAAAATCTAGCTCATTAAATACTACATGTCTGGAAATATAAATTCTACTGCTAGAGCTTAGACACTTGTATCCTTTGTGTGAATCATCATAGCCAAGGAAGGTGCACCTTTGTGAGTGGAAGTCAAGTTTGTGTTTTTGGTATGGTCTAAGGCAAGGATAACAAGCACAACCAAAGGTTTTGAGTGTTTTGTAATCAAAGATCCTCCTATAAAGCATTTGAAAAGGAGATTTGTGTTGTAAAATAGGTGTAGGTAATCTGTTGATTAAAAATGTTGCTGTTTTGAATGCTTCCCACCAATAATGTAAGGGCATTTGAGCTTGTGCTAAAAGTGAAAGGCCGGTCTCGGTGATGTGTCTATGCTTCCTCTCTGCCCTACCATTTTGTACAGAAGTATAAGGACAACAGTGTCGGAATTCAATCCCAAAATCCAAGGTAATTTGGTTAAATGTTCTAAACTCTCCTCCCCAATCAGATTGTAATGTTTTGATCTTCCTTTCGAACTTATTTTCAGCCATTCTTTTGAACTGATTAAAGATGTTTAGTGCCTCAGATTTATGCTTCATGGGGTAGATCCAAGTAAACCGGCTATGATCATCAACAAAAATGATATAGTATCTAAACCCTGAGGTGGACTTCCTAGGTGCTGGTCCCCAGACATTCGTATAGACCAAGTCCAAGGGGTTTGAAGCATGAAATGAAGACATATTGAAAGGTAGTGCATGAGATTTGCCAAATTGACATGGTTCACAGAAAGCTGGTTTTTCATTAATTTTGATGGAATTATTACATGTCTTTAGAACTTGACCTAACACAAGACTTGATGGATGACCTAGCTTTCTATGCCATACATCAACTTCTGACTCTAACTTGACTCTTTTGGTTGACTCATCACAGCTGGAACCTACTGTGAAACAGCTGGTATTATTTTGATGGTCTGACTCTTGATTTGTAGGTTTAGACTTTGAGTTTAGGGGCTCCAGTCGATACAATCCATCCTTAAGCATTCCCTGCAGCAGAGTCTTCCTGGTTTTCAGGTCCTTCACAGCACAATGATCAGGAAAGAATTCAATAAACACATTGTTATCATATGTAAG